ATATTTGATTATGCCTTTGAACAACTTAAATCATGCACATGCCAAGGAAGACAAGAACCACATAGTTTTTATGGAACTAATTTGTCAATATCACCACATTCAAGTTTTCAATTTGAGAGCATAACACCTTAAAAAAATGCAATTTTTAGCTAAAAATTTGGGATTTTTTTTTTTTGCAAACAAGTTTCCCAAGGTGATAGAAAAGGGTTTCAAGGTGTCTGAACACTTAGTTCCTTGAGTTTTGGTCACAAATCAATTCCAAAGCACATACACTCCATAAGTCATGTAAAAATGCAAGATTCAAATATTTTAGAATAACAAGAACAAGAAAACCACTAGTTAACATATGACATATGACTCAAAATCAAGGATAAACACATTTAAAGACTCTTTCAACATGAGAGACAAAATTTTAACATGATAACACTACACGCAGCTCTTAGTTTTCCCAAGAACAATACCAACAAAAATCATGTTCACAACTTCACAAGATCACCAATATATGGAGATGAAGTTCTAGATACTTAAACCTTGAAGTGAAGTGAAAAAATGTACAACACCAAGTTTGAACAAACCAAGGTCGAGAGTCCACCAAGAGTAACAACATAAGACAACAAAAGTTAGCACAAGACAAACACCATATTCAAGATAAACATGGCTCTAGATACTAAATGATGTAGGTTCACTTTAATTCTTTGAAATAGGGTGTTGTATTACTTAAGAAAACCTAGGGAAAATTCCCACTGGACATTAAGATTGCAAGCTATCTAGATGTGAAGGTGCATTTCCAACGGCTCAAGAGAGGAGTGAATGGAATTAATATTGATTAGCAAAATAACACATGAACAAGGAGTAAAAATAGAAGAAAAGAACAACAAAATGTAAGATATAGAAGATGGAGATGGTGAGGAAACACGTCACTCTTTGGACAAGGGTCATAGTAGCCACACCAAGTCAAGAGATAAGTGGTGAAATCGCCACTTTCTTAGGAGCAAGATAAGGTCATGGAGTCTCCACCCTAGGGAGAAGATGCTCACAAAAATATGGTTGGACAAAGGAGTATTTTGATTTCAAATGTTCAACCCCTACAAAGGAGAAGAAACACCCCTTAAATAGATAGTCTTGAGGGCTTCTTAGCGAATAACAAAAGTTCTAAAATGGTACATTTGCAAACCCTAAAAAGTATCTTCTACAAACTTAACATGAAAACAAGGAAAAGATAAATTGAATGTTGTACTTCCTATGGTGATTCTTGGCTAAGACTAAGGAGGAGATCACATTTTTCTCATTCGCCACCATAAAACACCTTTCTCTTTATGCTTTTGCTTTATGCTTTTGCTTTTCACCTCATGCACATGTGGTCCAATCCTAGCTTGCCATGTGGAGAGTCTTAATCATCCTCTTAATCTATGCTTAAACTACAAGACATACAAATGAAACTAGATTAGCAATGTTGACTTGGGTCAAGTCAACTCTAGTAAAAAAGTCAATCCAAGTCCAGGTCAACAAGTCAACTAAAATTAACTCTACTCAATTCAACTTAGGAATTTAAATTAAGCTAATGAAAAATAAAGATAGGGTATAATTAGAAGATTTCCCTCTTGTCATACCTTCATCATTATCAAACAAAGAAAATTGTTACTTCCTACTCATTTTCTTAAATTATTTATTTTTTATTCTACATTTTTCATGGGAACAAAGTCTCGCTGATGACAATTTTGACTATTCACTTGAGAATTATTAGTCTGTGGAATACCTTAGTATTCATGATCATATATCAAGGGTTCTATGTTTATCATAGATTTGACATTGATATTTTTTACTAATTTATTGAGATTGATTATTTTGATTCTAGTTACTTTTAACATAAATTTTATCACTAATAGATAAACATCTTCTATTACTAATCACTCCATAATTATTTCCTCTATCACATTGAAAATTTGGATAATTGTGTTTACCATAATTGTAATCTTGATTGTTGTATTGTAATGATTCAAAGTAGTGTTAGCATGAACCAAACTTTTGTTAAATCTTCTACATTTCTCAAAATGTTCTTTTGGAGCCAACAAATGTGACAAAGATAATGAAATTATTAAATTTAGCACAAAGATCATCAAGAATAACATATATGTGATCTTCTTTACTAATGAGAGATTCACCAACAACAATGTGACAAAAATAATAAAATTATTAAATTTACTATAAAGATCATAAAAAATAACATACATGTAATACATGTAATATTCCTTGGTGAGGGAAGATCCACCAACAACTAAGAGTCAATAATTTTCTTCCGTCAAGAAGATAAGTATTGATTAATATATCTTTATTGATAACATAAAATTACAAATTCTTTCTTTACTTGTACTCTTGTTTAATTTACATAATAAACTTATAATTTCTTCCAAAATTGAGGAATATGAACCAAATCAACCATTTTTGGCAATATTGTGTGGACATAGATGCAAGAAAATATGCAACTAACAATTGATCTTATTGTTCGTAATTGAGATATTTCTTATTTGATCACTTTGTTTTCTTCATCTTCTTTTACAGTGAACTTGTCAAAAACAGATTTTTAAGGAGCTTCATGACCTTTTTCCATAGCAATGCTAAGGCTTGTTGCTGTAATTTGAGGGTAATAAGAATTCTAAAGTTATGTGAAGTAAATGAAGAACTAGGGAAAAATTGCAAAATTTATGGATGAATTGTAAGTGATGTCAATTATTGCATTGGTATAAAATTAATATTTATCTGTGTTTATTACATAAATAAACCTTTTCATATAATACTTGTATAAAGAATCTTTATAAAAACCTTTTGATTCATGTGTTTTTGAACTATTTTGTAAAATAAATTTTAAATTTTTTTCAAAGTTAAAATTATTACTTGATTCTAATGATTGCAACACCACCTATGTTACGTTGTTCGGCAGATATAATTGACGAAAAGTATAGGAAATAAATTGGCTGACGTATCACTATTTTTATTTTTAAAAAAATATAGTGTTACTTTTAATATTTTTTATGTAAAATAGAAAAATATTTTCTAACAATCATACTACTCTCCAAGTCAATTATAATAATAATATTAAGAAGATTATTATTATTATCTAATTATAATACTTAATTCTTAAGTGAATATATCTTATAAAAAAGTTGTTTATATACGATTTTTTTGCCAATGCTAATATCATAGGTATATAGTTGTACATAGTTTTTATTTATTAAATGAACTAATTTTTTTACATGTATCATTTATTTATTTAAATTACTAACATTCAAAAAATTAACATGCAGCATTATTCAGACAAGATTCAAACAATAATCAAATAATAACTACCAACTACTGCTCATCATCCATACTTCTGCCTCTGATCCATCCTGAAGTTTCATCGCAGTTACTCTTAATAGTAATACTAGATTAATATTTATATCTTTGCTACGCTATGCTGTGCAAATGACATCGTAAAAACTAATATCTTATATCAGAAGAATGCACAGGAAACAAGCTACCTGAATTCCAAACATGATTTCTTGTCCAAGGACTGCATAGCGTAGTCTCGTTCATGTAATTTGTTTTGGCACCACGATAGAGCAATAGACAATAAAATAGAATATAGCCACAAAACTCATTCTATCTTCCTAAACTTCTTTCAGTAATCAAACTAAACTTCTTTCTAAACTCATATAGGGCTCATTTCTGAATCAGGAAAGTCATCAAATGAGAAATAGGACCCACAAAAATTTGTAATTTTCAATAAATTCTAACTAATAATAGAGTGCTACTAGCACTCAACTAAAAATATAGACCCATTATATAATCATTCTATATTGAGATGAAAAAAATTAGACATCCATAGACATGACAAACATAGAAAGAGGGAGCACAAAACTTTTCGTTTGGAAACCAAGGAGAAGAAGATATGAATCTAACAAAAATAAGAAAAAAGGAAATATACGGAGAGAAAATAAGACAGAATAGTAGAAAACAAATATCACTGTGAGTTTTGTGCACAGTAGGAAATGAGGAATGAGCATGAACTCATAATGGGGTTAGATACTTGGTGTGTTAAGAATGAAAACAAAAAGGTAAAACTGAAGCTTTTCACCCCACTGCATTTTCCTTGTTTTAATTTCCAAAATTTACAAAGAAAACATTGAAAACAAGCATTTTTCAAATTTGGGTTACCTTTAGAAAATGTTATCATAGAAAAACTGTTCTGAATCTATATTTAACTATATTGCATTCTATATACAAAATAAGACTTTGACACAAGTCAATTTAAACACAAAACTTAATAAAAATGAAGCATATTCAAACCAAAACATTGGTCCTTGTAGAATCATCATATCTTATGTCTGCTGTGCCTCAAAGCTATTCCATCTGTTTAAGATAATAAAGCCATTGATGCCAACTGAAAAGTGATAGCAACACACAGGATAGCAGAACAAATGTGCTATCACATATATCGATTTTGACTTAATTTTAGGATTGACAAGAAAAAGAAAAATTATAAAAAAAGATAAAAGACATCAGCCTGGCAATAAACATATCTTCATGATAAGAGTTGAATGGACATTAATGATTAATGTAGAACTCCTTAATCGGTAAACTAAACCCTTCAACAATTGTAGGTAGAGAAGCAGAATATCTCCAATTACGAACTATCTTTAATTGATACAAAATGATTCTCAATAACCAAAACATCTCACAGAATGAAAATAAAACATAAATGGCACATCATGCTTTTCAAAAAACACCACAATAAAGCTAAAGCATATATGACTGTGCTACAGGAAACTGCCAAGAAAGAAGCAATCCCCTATCTGTATAATCATGAAGGCAGTGTAAGGCCCATAATCCTTCATCGATTTTAGACAATGAACATCAAAAACAGATTGACTCTGCCTGTGTTACCTCAATGTCTGAGAGTTGTCCTTTGCACACTAAAGAATAATTTGGTAAACTGAAATGTGAATACATTCACCCCTGAACTACTGAGCTGAGGTAGAACTAGAACCAACATTGCCCAAACCCATCTTCTGCCCCAACAATGTAAGCTGCTCTACAAATTCGACTCCAGTTAGAATTTCTGTTGTTCCATATATAATATGCTTGGCAGGCTGCTGATGTTGTGCAAGCTCTTGCAGACTGCAATATTCAACATAATTACCACCACCAATCATGAACACAATTGCTTCCTTAAATGGTCCTTTCAAATGGCTGCTACTTGCTCCTGAACCAGACTTAGGAGCCCGAGGATCAAACGAAAGGTATGAATCTGTTTCAGGATTTGGCCTCCCTTCAATCAAGGCTTCAACCGTCCTTGCCAATGCTAGCTGCCTATCGTTAGATAAAAGATTTTTTACACCAGCTGTCACTGCACTAATTGATTGCCCATAGAGCTTCTCAGCCCAATCGACAATATTACTTCTGCTGGCAGAATTCGCTGATGCCAAGGAAACATTCAACGACTTGATCTTCTTCACATACTGAAAAGCAGCAGTATCAACCTCAGACTCTCTCAGAGCTGCTTCCACAGCCTCCACTTCAGATGGATTAATGCTTTCAGATGAAATAAGATATATGATGGCAAACCTAAGCTTATCCATCTTGGTTCCCTTCCCCTTGAGCACACCAAGCAGGTCACCCCGTTCAATGCCCCCTCTAACCAACATGTCATTCTCCTTCTTAGCATAAGAATCAAGGGACCTCTCCTTGATCTCCCCCAACAACACGGTCGCAATGTTGGTATGCTTATCAATCACCTGCTTCCTCTCAGTCAACTCAGGCAGAGAATTCACAGCATTCATCAAATGTTTCGTGTTCCCAATCAAATCCGTCCCATCAAACTCTGCACCATGAGTCCCACCAGTCCTCTTATTCACCTCATCCACATCCCTCTTATACTTTGTCAACTGTGTCTCAATCTCAACCGCAACCTCCGGGAACTCCAGCGATCCATTCGCAACCCAAAACGAATCAGCACAATCCAACTCATAAGACCTCATCCCACCTTTCTCCCCCTGTACACTCAGCCTATTCAGCTTCAACCCAAGCACATCATGGACAAGCGGCCGGTAACGAAAATCATGCTGAACCGCCACCGGCAACTCAAAATTTCGGTCAAAAATACACAACACAGGGCGCTGAAACGAGCTCACGAAGTTCCCACCCTCGGTAAACAAATTATTCTTGGACAACAAATGATCCCTAATGCGCTGATCCAACGCAGAAGCAACCATCTCGGCAGGGCCACCACGTGGGCAGCGAATAACCGGCACAACAGAGAGAGTAGCCAACACGCAAAACAACCCACCAACGATCTTCTCAACAAGCTCCTCAATTTCCTTGTCCCCAGCGGAAGGGTCATTCAGTTGAACATAACAAGAATTGTGGGCCAGCGAAAAAAGGTTATCTTCTAAGGTTACAAACTCGAGATACTGATCGTGGACCTTGGAGATTCGCTGAATAGAATCAGAATTTAGGGTTCCGGCGGCGAGGTCTTCGAGGAGGGGGCGGGGGATGGAGGTGGAGAAATTGAGGTGGAGACTCTGGTAGAGGGATTTAGTCGCGTCCGAAACGATGCGTTGCACGTTGGATTGGTTAGGTTGAACGAAGTACACCGCGGGAACGTCGTGAACGGGTTTCCGATCCTTATCGATGAGGAAGTAGAGGGTAACGCCGTGCTTGCGAAGGTCCTTGACGTGGATCAAGGGGGAGAGAATGTTCTGGCAGAACTTGTCGTAGATGAGGATCTTGTAGACTTCCTCGTTGGCCGTGCCGGTGGTGGCGTTGAGGGGCTGGTTGAGGTTGAGCATGCGCGCGATGCATTCTGAAACAGCAATGGATGGTTAGCGTGGGAACGGAAACGACGGGGCGTTTAAGGAATTCGGAAATGCAGAGATCGGAATTGAGAGTGATTACCTGTTTGCTTCTGACGGAGATTCAGCGACATGACTGCGTCGGCGGAGGGATGGGAATTGGGGTTGTTGAAACGGTGGTGGATCTGGATTAAGACATAAATACACTTAGCATTTCTCCTTCTTCTTCTTACATCTATTTCTATTCTACCATTTTTATTTTTATTTTTATTTTTTTACTTTGCTCAACGTAACACCTATGTATCTATCCTGATATTAATTATGCATGTTTTTCTCTTCTTTTTTCTGCTATTTAAAAATTCTCACGGATAATTTTTTTCTTTTCTAAGACTTCTTTGTCAAGAAAATATGGATGATATTTTCTAATTAAAGATCCACGCTCTTTACTCTCCGGTTGCACCCTAATTGATGTTTGAGCATTTTTTTTAAATCATATTAACCGTAATTTTCAGCTTTTTATTAAATATTAAAATTAAAAAGAATATTTTTTAATAAAATTAATCTCTTATCAATATTACAGCTTCGAAAATTCATATTTATGATAAATAATAATAAATATCTATGTTAACTTGATTTTCAGCTTTCCCTTGAACATGATTTATTTTAAAATCACAGTATCCATAAAACATTATTTTCAACTTTCCCTTCAACATAAATCATAAATCGTTATCATTAATGTAATTTCAAATAATTATAAAATATAAATAAATTTTAAAGTTATAAATGTTGTAATGAATTAATAATATTAATTTTAAAATATTTTTATTTAACTATATCTATATTTATAATATTAGCCTATTCTTACATCAAAATATAAAAGTAATTTAATTATGAGTAAATTGTATTTTATAAAATTTTAATTATTTACATTTTCATTATTGTAAAGTTATATCATTTGATTATTTTAATTTTAGAATATACAATAATATTAATATTAATGTAATTAATTTTAATATAAGTAAAATTAACTATTTTTTTTAATTCTATGTATTATTTTTAACTAGATTATATATTTGTTAAATACATATGTAATCATAACCGTGTAACCGGTCCATAATTTTTAATTATTATCATTGAAATACATTAAATCTACAAATATAATATATCTATATTTAATTATTTTATTTTATTTTTTTCTCTAGTTTTAATATATTTATCAAATATCATTTATTAAATCTATCAAAATTTATATTTATGTGTATTTTATTTTTCTTATAATTTCCTTAAAATAAGTATAACTTATTGATAAATAAAACTAAAAATGAATAAATATGATAAGTGGTTTAAATTATTATGAACTATCACATAATCTACATAGAAAATCCTATATAGAATTATTGTTTTCACTTCATTTCTCTTTGACTTTTATCCTCTTCCTCATTCTAATGTTGACCTCATCAGGTTTTTCATTGATAATCAACATGCTTGTCATCGTTATCAATTTTTTTCTCTCTGACTTGGAAATTTAAGTTCCTCTTTATCACACTCCACATTCAGCAACCCACATGTCATTTCTATTAAATTAGATCTAAAGATAGTAATGATAAATATTATGGTTACAATGGAAAATATCTGAAAGTCATACTGAAAAGTGAGTATTTTTAACAAAAAAAAAATGATATTCCAATGTGTGATTATCATTATTATAATAGCAGTGGTGACTTTTATGAAATACTTGAAATTCATACCACAGGAAGAACTAAGTGATTGACAAATGTTCAAATATTAACAAAGAGGGGATGAAGACAAGTCTGAGAGGGGAAACATATATCTTACTCCAACATTTTAATGATATTACCCTTCACGTTAAGGTACTTTCTCCTTTCTCCATTCCATTTTCCTTCATTGTTGCACATCAATGACTAATAGTGGCAACATTTTGTGGTTGTGAAGAAAAGTTGAAGGTGCTTTATTAGGTAAGTAGAAATATTTGTTCCACTATACCAAATGCAATGTTAAATATTATTCAATATATTTTAATCATGTGTTTAGTGGAATATTGAGGGGCATACTCTTTGAATTCAACTATCCAAAATTATGATTAATGCAAATTTTAAGTTGATATATAATACATTAAAACATGCAAAATTTACATTCTATATAATTTAAGTTTTAAGTGTTATGAGAAATGTGTAGATTAGTGGGTGTAGAATTTTTTTAGAAAGACAATCCAAAACCTACACCGATATTATTGTTCTAGAACAACTTATCCATAAGATAAATTTTGCTCAAAAATAAGAATTGAAATTAGTAAGAAAATCGGTGACGTGGGACCCAATGAAGTAGTGATAGATCTTTCATCCCAAAGAAAGAATAAATAATGAAGTCTCTACTACAATTCACACCAATGGAGAGTTTTGGTAATGAGTGATCTTAGCACCACTTAAAGCTTAACAAGCTTGAGATTGATCACTCTCTAATTCACATATTTAGATATCTCTTTACTTTGATAAATTGTATACATTAACTGAGGCCACCACACTCTTACTCTCAAGTATCATATCATTTAATTGTTTCATCTAATTTTTTAATTAAATCATGACAACTAAAAGATGTGCCCTATACTAGGAATACTTTACAACACTAATATCGTGAAGACCTTTCATGCATTTGATAAACGAGGCATGTTAAAGAGACAACAAAAATAAACAGAATATTTCATTACATTATTAATATAAACAACACTAAAGAAACTCAATTTAATTAGTTTATGATGTATTTAACATATAATCTTACAAATATCCATACCATCTTTCTTGGTTAATACATTTAAAATATATTTCTTAATTAACATTTTCATAATTATTTTAAATAATGTAATTCAGAATGCTAAATAAAAGTTATTATTGTGTCATGATGATGTCATGGAGAAATGTAGGATTTGATTTTTAAACAAAAACTCAGCATTTTCATCTTTCACTACAAGTTACATAAAAGCCTAATTGGAATATGTGTTTTTTATTTTTTTATTACAAAAGAGTCAAAATAAAATAAAATCTATAAATAATATATTTTTTAAAAAATTACTAAAATATAATCTGTGGAAATTTATTTACTGTTTATCTTAGACCTTGTTCTCATTTTTTTCATTCAGTTTTTTTTTCATGTTTGTTATTTTTTCTCTCTTCTCCCACCTATTTTTTCTATTATATAGATTTAATAAAAATATGTTAAAGTAAATTTTGTAAAATTAACATTGAATTATATCAAATAATTATTTAAAATTATGATGATAATAAATAATTTTATTTATTACGACAATAAATAATTTTATTTATTATGACAATAAATAATTTTATTTATCATGATATAAATAATTATTTTATCATAATAAATCTATTATTCATCTAATTAAAAAAATATCAAATATTTATGAATTAAATATAATTTTATTTAATATTTTAATCTAATTATAATTAAATTGAGTTATAATGATTAGTAAAATTAGATAATTTAAAAAAATTAAAAATTACTTTAAAATAAATATTTATTTTTTCTTAATAATTATAAGATAACCATAATATTTATAATATTTTAAATTTATGATGTAATATTTTTTCAAATATAATATAAAATTATAGTATGTGTGGATAATTTAAATATTTTATTTTCATAAATAATAAAACATCTATTTTATTAAATTTTAATATAATATTTTTAATTAATAATAGGTTGGATAGGGAGAAAAAGAAGAGAAGGGAGAGAAATAGTAAAACAACATTAAACAAAGAAAAAAATAAAGGAAAAATAAAAAATAGAAAAGAGAAAAAAAAATATATATATATATATATATTACTGTCAGCCAAATCTATTTTTTATTATCAAATTTTGTGTATTTTTAAATATATTATTTAGTGCATTACAAAAAATTGAACCACCAGAAGTTAAATGCTGAGAAAAAAAAAAAAGTGAGTGAAATGAGAAATTGAGTGAAAATTAAGGAATTTAAACAAAATGCTGTGTGTCAAGTCATGATGAAATGACATACACCAAATACCCCTCATTAAACATTCAATCCCTCGTATCCACACTGCTTGTAAGTTAGAGATTGCTTTCTTGGACTTATCACTATTACACAGTTCAGCGAGACCTGTAAAATTGAGTTTCACTATCATTGATCTAATGCCGAAACTAAGGATTAATGAGAAAAAAATTATTACAACATGAACTTCGAGCAGTAAAGCTAGTACCAAAACTACAGATACTGATCTTACCAGAGAATACAGAGAATTCTAAACAAATGCATTCCTACGGGAAATCAATACTCCAATGAACCCCTCTAGTTATTTTTCCAGAGTCTTTGTTGCATCTCATCGCCTATTGAACTATCTTTTTTCCTTCTTCTCTTTTGTAATTGTAAAAAACATGTTACTAATTGAAATTAAAATGAAGGATTGCATGTAAGTTGAAGTAAGTCAAATGCTAAGAAGGAAAAAAAATATAGGATGTTAGAAATCTGGAATATTTTACCATGGTATATAACAGACAAAATGCATAAAGGAGCGTCAAAAAGAAAGCGTTTGATGAAAAATCTAGAATTTGATTCTGAAACTTACTAATATCTTATGGTTAAAGTGAAGAACAAAAATGATGTAAGTAGTGCTATCTGACATGCACGTCTGATAAAAGTAAGCAATCGTTATAAATTTCAATTACAAAAAGTATAACTTGAAGTTACTTATTATGAATATAACATCCAATACGAGTGATAAAAAAATCATGTCTAACTCAGTCCACCATGTACACGAATCTATTCTTATTCCATTATTCACAAAAGAAAACTACAAACACAAAGCCAGTCAAGAGTTATAGATTAAAACACAAAAGGAACCAAGCCTAGAACATAATTTGGAGAGGGACACGACCGAAGAATCTAAAAAAGAATATGTTAAGGTGTTGCAGAAACTAGGTTTTTTTTTCTTGAAGGAAGAAACAATCCAATTGAAGATTGTTATCCAAGTTAATCTATTCTAATTATTAGAGAGATTGTTAGATTAATTTGAACAAATTGAGAAATACCTGAAGAGGAGGAGATTGGAGGTTGAAGAGGCGAATCTTGGTGGCGACGTGGGCCAAGACCCGAAGCTCCACCCTGTCATTGAGCAACGCGTCTCTGGTGAAGTCAGCCGCATCGGAGTTCGACAAGTTGACGTCATCGACGCCGACGGTGGCCACCACCTCCTTAACGGTGTGAGGGTGCTGGAAGAACGCGGGCATGGTGGCCCTGCCTAAGGGAGTGCCCCGGTACAGGAGAGTCACCCTGGACTGGCCACAACTGATCCCCACCCTGTTGTTGGTGTTCACAACGGCGAACACCAACCGTATTATGAAATAGAGATTGGCGCTTGATGGGCCTGGGCGGTTTGGGTTGGGGGAAGTGGCCATGTATTGGAGACCCAGTTGACGAAGGTCTAAGTGTGGCTTCATGGGCTTAGTGACGAGCACGATGACGAGAAGTGCTGCTAAGACTAAGAGAACAAAAAAGGAGAAAAGGAGAAAGAGACAGCAACAGCAGGGTTTCCAAGACGACGTCGTCAGGGGGCTAGGGTAGTAGAGGTGGTGGTGCTCCGGTGGTGATGTACGTGGTTCTGAGTTAACTCTAAGGTTCATACTTTTCTTATTACTCTTTCTCTGCTTCGGGGCTCAGGCTTCTGAGGGAGCTACCAACTTAACTAACCCCACTCTTCAATAACCACAGCCACAGCCACAGGTTGCCAATTAAAATTTAATATATAAATTAAATAATATATTAGACTATATTTAAATATAAAATTAAATAAAAATGAGATAATTGTTAAGAAAAATAAGACCTTTTATTTTAATATATTGAAATAATATTCATAATTTATTTTTTTATTTCTTTCTATCTCATCGTATTTATACATTTTTTTTATGTTTTGAGTGTTATCATTTCTACCACTGTAAAAACGGGTGTTTAGTCTAGTCTAATCCAATTTTACGGGTGCATAAAAAAATTTAATATTATAATCTAATTTATATTTTAAAATTAATTAAAAATTTTAGTCTACCAGACCAAGAAATTAAGAAGTCAAATTTGACCTAATTAAAATTAAAAAAATTAATATATTTATATCAAATTAATTAAATAAATAAAAATTTAAATAAAAATTTAAAAATATTTGTATAATTTAAATTATATTAATAAAATTAGTTTTTATTTAAATATAAATTATAACATAATTAATATATTTAATTTCAAAATAATAATTAAAACTTATTTCTTATATTATTATTTTTTAATAATTTATTAATCTAAAATAATAATTAAGTTTAATAATTAAATATTATAACAAATATGATTAAAGATTTATTTTAATATTTATTTTTTTAAAATTAATTTATAATATATATATTAATGAAATAATATTATTTTCATTTTTATTTAAAAAATAATTATTATTTTATAAAAAGATTTTTTTCTAAACCTAATTTATTATGATACCTTTAATCATTTCATAGTTATTTTTATATTATTTATTTGTTTATTTTCTTTCATTTTATTTAATTATTATTTTACTTTAATGTTTATTTAATTATATATTATTAAAATTTTTTATTAAAATGTTTTAAAAAATATCTCACATAATTTTTATATCATTAACTTATTTTAAAATATATATTTTTAATTTTATTTATTTTTTCTTTACTTAAATATATCAACTTTTTTACTTGTGATATTGTATTACAATTTTTTTCTCTCTCCTATTTTTAGGAATTTTCTAAATATATAAATTATAATAACAATTGTTTTATGTTATCTTTATCTATTTATAAATTATATTATAATATATATTTTTCTTTAATAAACCCCAAACAATTAAAAAAATAAATGTTATATCAACGTTTTATATATATATATATATATATATATATATATATATATATATATATATATATATATATATATATATAATTTAATGTTATCGGTCTAGTGGATATCAATAAAAAAATTTAACAACATTAATACTAAAATTAATAATAAAACAAAATAAAAAAAATCAGTCAACTTAAATTTTATTATTACACTGAGAGATAACATAAAAGTGTTTTTATTATTTCTCAAATTAAAAGGAATGTAAATAAATCGGTGGAAAATCCTTTTAATCATTTGACATGAATTATAGATTAAAAGAAAAGACTTTCATTTGTCAAAAAGACTTTTTTAGCTATAAAAAAAAAAACGCTGGAGATAATTTGTCGTCTAAGACTTATTTATAGTCATAAAAGTTGAAAACGATATAGCGATTAGTAAATACAATTGACTTTAGTAAATAAATAATTTTATGACGCTACATATCTCTTTAGAAAAAAAATTGGTGGACAGGGTTTTTGTTTTGAATCTTCAAATTAACTTGCACAAAAGAATAAACTTATGCACAAATGGTTTCAAAGGCAAAACCACATACCGAATTTGTTCTGGAGTTCTTTATTGTACATGTGATTTTTTTTTTTTTTTAAGGCTCCACTAAAAATTAATGATAAAGAAGTTTTAAAATATTAGTTTTGAAAGTTCATGAATAGTCCGTAAAATTAGTACATTTAGATCATTATAATGAATTTTTATATAATGAATTTTTTTAGTTTTGTTTTGTTTAGTCCATCAATCTAATGAACTAAAAATAGGTTGATGTTAATCCACTTTAAATAATATATTTAAATTAAAATAAAAAATTATAATTAAAAATATTATATTTTTTATTATATTATTAAAATATATAATTATATTATAATTTAAATTTAAAAATTAATTATATAATAAAAACTATATTTTCTAATATATAAATATATAATTTATATAAAAAAATTATTAAGTTGGTCAATAAACTTATTTTTTATTGGACAGACTAAGATTTATAATTAATTATCGTTATGACCTGTCCTATTTTTAATAAAGGACAAAATAAGACAGACTTCGATTCTATCATCTCTAACTTTAATCTTATTAAAGAAAAAAAAGTATAAAATTATAAATAACCTAAACTTTAAATAAGGATGGGATGATATATTTATTTGTTACTCATTCAAATAAAGAAAATTCTCTACTACCCTATATTATTATTCATGCTTTGATATCTATGAATATATTTTCTATATTTTAAATAAAATACTTAAAATTTATTTTTTTAAATGCATTTAATATTTTTTTATATTAAAATATTATTTATATAAAATTGTTTATAAAACATTAATATAATTAAAATTAATTTTTATAAAATATTAATTCAAATAAATTATAGTATAAAATATATATTTAAATAAAATTAAATCTTTTAAAAACAATTTTAATTTTAAATAATATTAATCTTTTAAAACATATATTCAAATTCTAAATTATTTAATGGTTAAGGTAATCTTCACCTGTAATAACTTTCTTTTTCATAACTTGATTTTGAAAAAAATAAAATAAAATTTATATATATCCTGTTAATATAGTTTGTTGATGAGTCAAATAGGCCTAATAACAAAATCTAAACCTATCCAACACCTAAAGACCAAAAAAAATTCTAAGGTAAGAGTCACTCTCCCACATAAGTCATGCTAGAACTTAATCCCTTAACTTAAGTTAAATTATGTTTCATTAATCGTGATTAGAGTAAAATAGACTTTTTACGTATGAGACTAATGTTAAAATAGGAGATGTAAATTTACGTCGATCCCTTTGACCGACGTAAATTCACATCAATTATCGAGACCCGACGTTAATCTATGTTGCATATATCACTAAACATATACATATGCGACGTAAATTTACGTCACATATATGAATGTGCGACGTAAAATTTGTCCTTTTATTTTAATATTAGATTTATTTTGTCTTACAATCAAAACCTGCAAACATATATTATAACCAGACAATCTAGAGGTTCAAGTTTCTTTAGGTAGAAAATAAAAAATATAATATTATATATCATTCAAACTACAAAAGTTAAATTAATACATCATGCTAGTAAGTAAAAAAACTAGGCTACCTAAACTACATAATAAAATAATATAATACAAACAATATACTAAAAGTTATTACAAACTAAGCTACCTAAACTACATAATACACACAATATAATACCAATAGTAACCTACAAAGTAAGTACTAGATTTGCTGAACTAAAAATCTTGCTTATCATTCTCTAATTTGTGTGATATCATATTTTGGCAATGAAGATGAATCTTGAAATACCTGAAACATTAATTTGACTCTTGTAAACACGCAACACACATAAAGTTAAATAAACTTAACTAATGTTGAAAGCAATTACCTCCGTCCAAGAATCAGTTATACCCGCACAAACTATGACTCTCATCCAATACATGACATAGTAACCACATTCAAATGCATGGAATATCAATTTGACTCTTGTTAACATGCAATACACATAAAAGTAAATAAATTTAACAAATGTTGAAAGTAATTACCTTTGTCGAAAAATTATTTATACCCACACAAATTTTTGTGTATTAATATGCTTAGGAGAATATTTTGGAAAAACTGTTGGGACAAATCCGACATCCCAGTCAAAAGTTATCTTACTTCAAATATTTTCTATTTTCTTTATCATAAAACCCTAAACCTAAACCCCAATAAACGCATAAACGGATAATCACAATCTAGTGGAGACATTCATGTAATAACGTGATTGAGATTCCCAAAAACAATAATGGATTCAATTTCAACATATAACAAGAGACATAGAACACTAACCTCGAGTATACACGAAAACGATTTAAAACTCGAATCTAATCGGGAAGAAACGTCAAATTCGAAAAATGGGACACAATGTTGATGTTTTTCACAGTCAAAATGATCTAAAATGGTGTGGAAAAGGTCGTTGTCGTTGCTATGCGAGATGAGGGAGTGACGTTGGAACAAAATAAAATCCAGTTTTTACGTCGCACCTAAAAGGAGGCAACGTAAAAAACTTCTTTTATGTCACATCCTTTTGGGTGCAATGTAAAAATTGGACTAGTTTTTACGTCGCACTCAAAAGGATGTGACGTAAAAAACCCTTTTTACGTTGCACCAATAGGGATGCGTCGTAAAAGATATATTTTATGTCACCTCCTTTTAGGTGCGACGTAAAAGTCTCACCTCATATTTACAAAATTGTTACTGCTTTTTTTTAAATCGGATATTTTTGAATGCGACGAGATTTGGGTGACGTAAAAAACCCTTTTTGTACTAGTGTGTTAAGGTATATTAGTAATGTTTGTTATATTAAGTTTATATTTTTCTTTGGTTTAAAGTATAAAAGAAGTATATTATATCAATCATTTGAGAATTAATAAAATTACATAACCTTTTGAATATATTTTAAAGTGAAAAAAATTATTTACTAGAATTTTTTTCTTGAACCATTTAATCTTATAAAAAAATTTATAACTCTTATGACGATCCTCAAGGTTTATCAAAC